GATCTTGGGCACGCACGCACACGTGCCCGGCGTGAGTTTTAAGCCACCGGGTCCGGGACACGAACCGCGGTCGACTACGTGGGAGTCCAGCAACATAGCCATTACACTAACTGCTGGTCCCTCCAATAAATATATTCTTAAAGTTGATTTCATCTATGATGATGTATGGGCACATGCATGCAAGAGAGAGAGAGAGAGAGAGAGCAGGACCCTCAGCACTGTTTTGTCACAGTGTGATCCCCTTTCTCCAGTCCTCCAGCTTGTCAGGATCCTGGGCACACACACATGGACATATGCAGTGGATTTTAGATGTGGAGGTTCACATGGCTTCTGTTTAATGAGGTACAGTGCACATGTAAGAATGCTGGACCCCTGGGACCAGCAGTTAGCATAATGGCTATGACACTGGACTCTCACGTAGTCGACAACAGTTCGCATCCCGGACCTGGTGGCTTAAAACTCACGCCAGGTGCATGTGCGCGCGTGCCCAAGATCCCAAGAAGAGAACGGAGGAGAAGGGATTGCGGCGTGGCCATCCCCCCTGGGGGGTGATTTCTCACTTTCTGTCTCTCTGTCTCTGTCTTTCTGGCGAGCGCACGCGCCCTATAGCAAAAACCTCTCCAAAAAAAAAAACAAGAATGCTGGACCCTTGAGGAACATGGAGGGAGTGTTGTCATCAGGAGGAGCGAGGCTTTACTCAATAACAGCAAGTAGAAGAAATGTTTAATGAGAGAGAATAAGTCTTTGGGATGCATTGCCTAGGTAGTTAGGGGTTCTGGAGGGTACACATTGAGAAGAAACAGATGTAGGAGTTTAGGTAAATGGCAGACAATCACAGGGACATAAAGTCCCTTGGGGAGTTGTGTCTAACAGCTCCCTGTTACAGATACACTGAAGTTGGTGGCTAAGCTTTCTATAGCCCAGGGCTTGAAACTTAGGAGCTGAGTGCATAATACAAATGGGGTACCTTGTCCATACTAGCCATTCAGCCCCAAGCCTTTTCTCCAGGGTGGCCCCTTGGGAGCAGTGTCCTCCTGGGCTTTGACAGATCTTCCAGAGTGGTGGGCTCTGGGAATTTCATAGGGCTGTGGGGCCTGATTTGGATTTCTGGTAAGTTTTTTTTTTTTTTTTTTTTTACTTTATTTATTATTGTTATGATTTTTAAAATATTTCCAGAGAGAGACAGAAACAGAGAGAGCCAGAGAGAGAGAAATACAGAGAGGAAAAGGAAAAGTGAGAAAGCGAACCTCTAGATCCAGGATTCAAACCACAGTTGACCATGTAGGAGTCCAGTGCCCTTAACCACCATGCCACCTGCCAACCCCTCTGGTAAGCTGCTGAAGCTGTATCAGCTCTAAGTTAGAGTGTCCTATTATCTTTTTTGCTAAATTAAATGATAAAGTTCTTGTTTTTGCAACACTCAACCATTTTTTACCTTTCCTCAGCTCTGCTTCTAGAATCTTACATTTCATTGCTTTTAACTTTGGTTCTTATCTGGTTGGACACTCTGTTGCTTTGGACACCCAGTATCCTCATTAACTAGAAGATTTTATAGACTCCATTTTCAGTTACTATCTATAGAGCTAACAGCTTTCCAAATGCTTCAGGAAATATTCTTCACCGATTACTTATGTGGTAGAGGTTTTCAAAGAGAGTTGCTTTTCCATGGCAGGAGATCCACATCTCTGCTAAATGATGGCAAGGTGGTTGAAGATTCATAACCTTAGAGCTGATGAGCCATAGGAAGTCATCTATTGCAGTTTAAATGTAACCCTATCATTATGCTCTTTTTAAAAAACTATTTTCTCCTTTTTAAAAGTTTACTAATTTCTTTGGGAGGGATAGCATCTGCAGTAGGAGTTTCACACTGCAATTCACCCTCAGTCTCTGCTGGCCCAGATCATGGATGTCTGCGTGCACCTAGCATGCTCAGGGAAGTCCCAGGATGAACTTAGGGCTTTTTGCATGTTGTAGTTGCATTGACACTGCACCACTATCTGGCCACTGGTTGTGCTTCTACTGTTTTAGGGCTCTTGCTTCTTACTCATTGGCAAAGCAATATGAAGGGAAGCCATTAGCCAAGGTATTGAAGTAGTTTGTTAGGAAGAAATTAATTTTATTGTAAAATTACCTAAATAATATCTAAAAATACCTTATCTTTTTCCATTTCTAGGAAGAAGTAAGTCTAATATGGGCTGGACACCTCTTCATCTGGCATGCTATTTTGGACATAGACAAGTGGTCCAGGATCTGCTAAAGGTTGGTTTATGGCTTTAATTTTTTTAAATGATTATGATATTGCTACTATAGAAATTTATAAGATGAGAGTCTTAGAAATTCCAACTGAGCCAGATGCCTTATTTACAGCAGTAGCTCATCACTAAAGACATTTAATTGTTCTTCACTAAATACATGATTTAGGTTAGCCAGAATAATTAAAATTCTTTTTATTTTTTTTTGAGAGAAAGATTTTTGCTATAGTGCCTGTGTGCTTGCCAGAGAGGCAGAGAGAGACAGAGAGACAGAAAGAGAATAATCATCCTCCAGGGGGATGGCCATATCACAATCCTTTCCTCTCCATTTTCCTCTTGGGATTTTGGGCATGCATGTACATGTTCCTGGTGTGAGTTTTGAGCCACTGGGTAAGTCCAGCAACATAATCACTATACCATCTGCTGGTCCCTAAATTCTATTTAAAAAAAAAGTATAGTCATTTATTTTTTTCCATGAGAGAGAAACAGAGATAGCACCCCAAAACAGGGTTCGTGCTGTGATCCACCCTAAGCCTCAGCCACGTATATCAGAGGCACACATGCACTCATGTGCCCTGCATACACAGGGAGGCCTCACGACATGAACTCGGGAACTTCCCACGTGGTTCCAGTACTGCAAAGCACTGCGTTAGAGCTGTCACCATCTGGACCCCTGCAAATCCTTTTAAAAATCATCTGATTTTTTAAAAAGAATTCTTTTATTTAACTTTATTTATTTATTTTTTAATTTGACCAGAGAGGGACAGACAGAGAGAGAGAAAGTAAAAGAACAAGCCACCAGGTCCAGGACTCAGACCACAGTTGGCCATGTGGGAGTCGAGCACCCTTAACCACCACACCACCTGTTGGCCCCTAAATCATCCGATTTTTACATTATTGACTTTTTTTTTGGGAGAGGTTTTCGCTATAGGGCGTGTGCGCTTGCCAGACAGACAGAGACATAGAGACAGAAAGCGAGAAATCACCCCCCAGGGGGGATGGTCACGCCACAGTCCCTTCTCCTCCATTCTCCTCTCGGGATCTTGGGCACACACGCACACGCGCCCTGCGTGAGTTCTAAACCACCGGGCCCAGGACGCGAACCGCGGTTGACTACGTGGGAGTCCAGTGACATAGCCATTACGCTAACTGCTGGTTCCCAGATTATTGACTTTTTTTAACTGCAAAAATAGGCATATTAATTAATGAAGATATTTTCAGTTTTAATAAGCATGACGGTTGAAAGAAACAACCAAAGCACATCCTTGATAATTAAAAACTAATGTTAATCTTTTAGTGAACACTGCACTTAATGAGAAGTGAGACTTCATATTTTTCAATGCTATGATAAATAATTCTTCACATACTGATATTCTGAAATTGGGTTGTGTCTTACAGTTCTTATGCATATTTAAATGGTGGCATTTTCCCCTCTGCCAAAAACTTATTAAATCAATAGTAGAGGAAATGTGTTGCCGCATTTAGAGGTGGTTCTCTTTTTTTTAAATGGCTGCTTCTACATAGAATGAATATGTATATATTTTTAAAGAAAAATACCTTTATAGTCTTCTATGTATCAGGTAGATTTTTACCTTTTAGGAAACCTGTTGACTTCACCAATGAATTGAGTTTACTTTTAGTAATGACAACCAAACAGTATTAACAATTACTTTAATTTTTGAAAATTTTAATACATTTTTAAGGAATTATTTTTACTCTTAGAGATTTCTTGATATGTGGAAGCTATTTAAAGTTTTCATATTTATTAGGCTGGTGCAGAAGTGAACGTGCTAAATGACATGGGAGACACACCACTTCATCGAGCTGCCTTTACAGGACGAAAGGTGAAAAACTTTCTGTGTTCACTGTTTGCAACTGAAATATTTGGAAGAGCAATTTCCAATACTTTCTTTGTAATAACCATCAGTCTAGCAACTGGAGAAAACCACAAAAATCCCATATAGGCCAATATTCAGGTCTAGAGGCCACAGGTTTTTTTTTTTTTTTGGAGAGATTTTCACTGTAGGGCACGTGCGCTTGCCAGACAGACAGAGACAGACATAGAGACAGAAAGCGAGAAATCACCCCCCAGGGGGATGGTCACGCCGCAATCCCTTCTCCTCCATTCTCCTCTCGGGATCTTGGGCACGCACGCACACGTGCCCGGCGTGAGTTTTAAACCACCGGGTCCGGGACACGAACCGCGGTCGACTACGTGGGAGTCCAGCGACATAGCCATTACGCTAACTGCTGATTCCCTAGAGGCCACAGGTTTTGAGAGCTGGACAGTGAGGTCACATACGAAGGTCCATAGACTCCCACTCTGGAAGGAGGTCGTTCAGTTTCCGAAAGTGTACTCTAGGAGTGGGGAACTCCTGACCATTCCTGTTTAAAAAACAGCTTCATTAGGTATAATTCATACTGTATAAAATTTACCTACTGTAAGTGTACATCTCAATGATTTCTTTCTCTCTTTCAACTGTTAGAAGGTGCATGTGCCCCCCAGAGAGAGAGAGAGAGCACCTCCCTGGGAAAATGGCCATGCTATAATTCCTTCCGTCTCCTACCTTTTGGGATTTTGGGCACAGATGAGCATGTGCTTGGTGTGTTTTTCAAGCCACCAGGTTTTGGACTCAAACAATATAGCTGCTCATGTACGATACAGCTGCTTAACCACCAAACTGCTGGACTCATGCAAACTCTTATGTCTGGCTCCCTTAATTAACATCTTGTTGAGGTTCATCCATGCTGTAGCATGTATGCAAAGTTTGTTCTTTTAAATGGCTTAGTAATCTTGTACAGATGTATCACATTTTGTCATGTATTCACCATTTATTGAAGACTCTTCTCATTGTACTGCTTTTTCACCTTTGTCAAAATGAATTGATCGGGTCAGTCCCATAATTTAGTGGTTAAGGGAACTGAATCCCACATGGCTGGCCACAATTTGAATCCTCACCCTTACAGCTTGAAAAACACGCTGTGTACCTCTGTGTGTGTGCCCTAAATCCTGATAGGATGGAGAAATGGAGGAGAAGGAATTGCAGCGTGAACATATGCCAGTTTGGGGGTGCTTCCTTGGCCCCCTGTTTTTTGTCTCTCTATGGAAAGCACATGCACCCTCTGACAATAGGAAAAAAATAAGAGAATGAATTATCTATAAATGTAAGTACAGATTTATTTCTGGGTTTTTATTTTAATTTGAGTTGTATGTCTGTCTTTATACCAGTTTATTACAGTAGCTTTATAATTAAGTTTTTTTAAGGAACTATTTTATTTAACTTTATTTATCCACTTATTTATTTATTTATTTATTTATTTATTTTAATATGACCAGAGAGGGATAGAGTGAGAGACAGAGAGAGAGCAAGTGAGAGAGAGAGAGCAAGTGAGAAGCAAGCCATCAGGTCTGGGACTCAAACCATGATTAGCCATGTAGGAGTCCAGTGCCCTTAACCACCACGCCACCTTCTGGCCCCTGTAACTAAGTTTTTAATATTGGGTAGTATTAAGTTCTCCAACTTTTAAAAAATGATTCTGGCTATTCTCAGTCCTTGATATTTTCATGTAAATTTTAGAATTGTCTTGTCATTTTCTGTAAAAATTCCAACTGGAGTTTTGTTTTTTAATTTATTATTTATTTCAGAGATAGAGGCAAGGGAAGAGAGAGAGAAAGGGATAGGTATTTATAACATGGTCTCTCAGTGCTGTGATCTTCCCACTCCAGCTTCTATTTAGCTAGCTTTACAGATATGCACTGCCTTGTCTGGTATGTCTAGGTCAATCCAGGATCCGAACTCAGATCTTCTGTGCAGCTTTGGTATTGCACAGCAGTGCCCTACCACCCATACCACCATAGCTGGGCCAACCTACTAGAGTTTTTTTGTTTTTTGTTTTTTGCTTTTTTTAAGAGAGATATTTACTATAGGGCATGTGTGCTTGCCAGAGAGACAGAGAGAGACAGAAAGTGAGAAATTTCCTCCCCCCCCTTCCTCCAGGGAGGATTATCATGCCACAATCCCTTCTCTGTTTTCATAGGATTTGGGGCATGTACACACACACACACACACACACACACACACACACACATCCAGCATGAGTTTTAAACTGCAAGGTCCAGAACTTGAACCACAGTCGACTACATGGGAGTTCAGAGACATAATCATTATGCCATCTGCTGGTCCCCCTACTGGAGTTTTGACAGAAATTGTGTTGTCTTGTATCTGTATATCAATTTAGGGAGAATTGCCATCTTAACAACAATCAGACTTCCGATCCATGAACATGAAATGTCCATTCACTTAGATCTTTGAAAATTTTTCTCAATATTTTGCAGTTTTTAACTTACAGATATTATACTTCTTTTGTTAAATTTTTAACTCACCTGTCCTTAATTGGTGAAATCTAGAATGAATCTGGTTAGCCAATATTTTTGCTCAGTAATTTAACAAATTAGTTTAACAAATCAGTTTTTTAACAAATTAGTTTAATTTTTTTATCAGTTTTCTAGAGCTCTCCCATGTATCTGCATAGTTTTGTACTCAGTGTTAGGGCACTGATGGGTTCACATACCAATCTCATGGGTTTTCTAAATGTAGATCAGAGAGTGCTTTCAGAGTTCAAACGTTTCTACATCTGCTCTTACTGCCGGAAGGACCCTCTTTTCCCCTGTACATGTGGTTTCCCAGTAGTCTGGCATGCATGGGAAGCTTGCCTCTTCCCTCTCTGGTTCTCTCATTTCCAGATCTTCTTGTTTTGGACAGTTTTGCCATTTGCCCTGTGTGGCAGGCAGAACAATGCCTCCAAAACTGTCCACCTCTTAATCTTTGAAATCTGTGGCTATCAGCTAACCTTAATATAGGAAACTTATTTTGGAGTATCTGGGTGGGCCTATGTAATCACAAGGTTCCTTAGATGTGTAAGAGGGAAGCAGAAAAAAAGAGTCTGAGAGAGGTGCCTAGGACAGATGGTCAGCAGGAGGCAATGTTTCTGACTTAAAAACCGGAGGATGAGACCATGGACTAAGGAATGTGGATGACCTCTGAAAACGGGAAATTAAGGGAAATATTCTGTCCTGGAACCTCTGGAAAGAATGCAGCCTGTGATATCTTTACCCAGTGAGATCTGTATGGGACTTTGGAAATACAAAACAGGAAGTGAATAAATGTGTGCTATTTTAAGCCTTCAAGTTTGTGGTATTGGCTATAGTGGCCATGAGAAGCTAAGGTATTCTAATGGGAGAAGTAGCTTCATGCTATCAGGCATATAGGTTTTCCCATTTACTTCCTACTGAATTTGCTACTTTAACTGGCAGTGACATTTGGCACTCAGCATTTTGCTTTTTGTTCCAAACCAAGTCAGTTTTCTCTGGCGGCAGAACTGCTGGTTGGGACTGCCATCACTGTCCTGGTCAGACTTCTTTGGGGAAGAAGGGGAAGAGGTAATGGACTGTGCTTATGACTCCTGAGGTTCTTACCTGAGGTTCTAGCAGTTCCTATTAAGTCTCTTTTATTCTGTTCTTTATCTTTAGTGATTATCCAGCATCATGAGATGGTTTTAGTTTTGAAAATTTTGTCTAGGTTTATACAGGTTAAGCATCCCTAATTAAAAATTCAAAGTTCAAATTGCTCCAAAATTTAAAACTTTTTGAATGCTGACATGATATCATATGTGGAAAATTCTACACTTGACCTCACGTGATGGGTTGTAGTCAAGACAGGGGCATGTAACACAGTTTTTTCAGCATTCCCAATAGGAAAAAGATCCTCCCCTTTCAGCAGCTGTATTTTCTCCTTTTGGAATGATTTTTCTATAGGGTATGTGTGCTCACTAGAGAGAGACAGAGAGACAGAAAGTGAGAAATTATTATGCTGCAATCCCTTCTCCTCCATTTTCCTCTGAGTTTCGGACATACACGCGCATACACCTGGTATGAGTTCCAAGCCATTGGATCTGGGACTCAAACCATAGTCAATTACATGGGAGTCCAGTGACCTGTTACGCTGTCTTCTGGTCCCCAGTAGCTGTATTTTCTATACATGACCAGAGTCTCACATGCACATCTCCACAAAGACAATAAAATGGCACACTGCAGGCTAGAAAATGATTATCAGTAGCATGTAAGTTCAAGTCAAGAATGATATTAGGGCTGGCAGGTGACCAGGGTACTGGATTCTCATATGGCTGACCATGGTTGGAGTCCCAGACCTGGTAGCTTGCTTTCTCATTTTTTTTCTCTTTCTCTGGTCAAATTAAATAATAATAATATAAAAAATAAATCTATTAAAAAAGGAAGAATGATATTGATGATAGAAGTTGTCCATACGGGTGGCTGAGATAATACCCCACCTGTGCTTTCTGATGGTTCAATGAATGCAAACTTTGTTTTATGCACAAAATTATAAAAATGTTATGTAAAGTATCTTTATTCTATGTGTACAAGGTACATATGGAGCAAAAATAAAAAAACAGATGCTGTAGTGGTTACATCACTGGACTCCCACATGGCCAACCATGGTTCAAGTCCCAGACTTGGTGGCTTAAAAATCACACCTTACATGTGTGCGTGCCCAAGATCCCAGGAGAAGAATGGAGGAGAAAGGATTGCAGCGTGGCCATCTCCCCTGGGGGAGTGATTTCTCACTTTCTGTCTCTCTGTCTCTCTCTGCCTCTCTGGCAAGCGCACGTGCCCTATAGCAAAAACCTCTCCAAAAAAATAAATAAGTCACGCTTGGTGATGTCCATGTTTGCCCATGACCCAAGAGGAGATTGGAGGAGAAGGATTGAACATGCCCCCCCCCCCGGGGGGGGATGATTTCTCGCTTTCTGTCTCTCTGTCTCTCCA